TAAATATTATTTATAACGGAAGACACGCGAAATATTTATTTCAGAGATAAATTCTGTTGTTGTTTTTTTAGACATTTTCTTTTATAGATTAGTTTAGATGTAGGAACAGCTATATTCTATAGTCTACTCGGATAGAAATATTAATATAATTTAGATGTTTAATGTTTTCTCTTTTGTTTTCTAAGTATAAAATAGATTTTTATGCCGATTCTTAATTCTAGTAACAGAAAAATATCTTACAGAAAATTAAAATAGTTTAAATTTAAACTGTGTAAGAATGTAGTTTATAAAGACGATAAAAATGTAGAAAAATGTTATAAATTACAAATTTAATCGAGGTTTGTTTGATAATGGTAATAATCTATTTATATAATCGCAACATCTCTTATTAAATTTAAGTTTATCCTTTAATTATACTTAATATATTTTTTCATTTCTCTTTTCGAATTTAATAGAGCAATAAAATTTGTTTTTTTTTAATTAAATTATTAAAATATAAAAAGTTTAGGCCTATATAGCTAACACATAAGAAAAGTTTTTTTTTAGAATTTTTTAACTCGAAATATTTATATTTTTAGAAATGGAAACAGACCTTTTAAAATATATAATTTTCGAAAACTTTTTAAAAATAGTTTTAGTTTTAATGTCATTGAAATGTTTTTAAAAAATTTAATTATAAGTTAAAAAGCTTATTATTTTTTAAGCATTCGGTAAATTGCTAAAGAACGTTAAACAAAGAATTAAAAAGATAAAATGACGATAAAAATAGACTGTTGGTGCCTTGACAAATACTAAAACTATTTTTCATCATCTTTGAAAACTAAATTATATTTTATTATGTAGCATAAAGATATAGAATACGTTATTTTTAAAGAATAAGCTTTCATTAATGTTTTAAATTTTATACTTTAAACGATTTAATCATTTTTTTAAATGATTATTGCTTTTAAGATTATATGCAATGAATTAAAATTCTTCAAGTTAGAAAAATTAACAATATTAATTTAATATCTCTAAATGTAATTGAAAAAATTATAATAATAAAGTAAATTTTTAAAGTTTGATTCTTATGTAAAACTGTCATGTAATTTCTTTTTCTTTTCATTGGCTCATGTTAAAAATCTGTATTTACCTATTTTAGCAGTTTATTTTCAGTTTCTAAGTTGTTTTCTGTAATTTAAATATCAAACTATCGACTTTCAAAATTATAAAATTGACAGACAAAATCACAAAATGAGAGGTATTAAAGTACTAATTATGTTGTTAGTTAAATTAACTGAAACTAAAATTGTTCTCCATTTATTAGTTATGCTATTAACTCAAGATTAATAGAAGCAGATAACTTCAACTATCACCTAAAAATCTCAAAGTAATTAGGATCAAGTTATTAGGCTCAGAACTAGATTAAAACCATATGAATAATTCCAATCAAATTCAATTTAGTTATTATATTTANTATAAGTCAATAAAATATTTATTTATTATAAAAATATTGTGTTTTTTTCCACGGAAAAAAAACGAACTTGCTTTCCGAACAACCCAATAGTATATTCAACTAATATTTATGAATTAAATTAAACTATTTATCATTATATATTCAAGTTTACAATATACTGTATGTGAACACGTTTTAAATCGCCATCTTTACCCTGTGTTTTCCAAGTAAGATGGTGCTTCAGGATGTTGGCGAAGTTTTGCATGAATGTACAGAACCTTCTAATGTTTGAAGTATTTCTCAAAGCAATGCTAAAAATTATCTGTTTCCATTTTACTAGAGACGATTGAAAGCTCGTAAGACACGAGAAATACTATCGCATCGAGTGAGATAGGCATGGCGCCTCATTAAGTCCATCGCCTGCTTAACCAGCCTGATTTTTCATTCCAACGATATTTCTCGGTAAAAAATAGAAACAAGCCCGGGTTATTACAGAGATCACTAAGCGTCGTTTCATTAACATCGCGTTTGACCATTTCTATCTTACGAATAGCATTCCGAAATTTCGCGCTTCGAAACTGATTCTACGCTAGCTCATTTATTCTAATTGCCGATGTAAAAGACTAATGAAATACTGTAAACTCACCTTCAACAACGTCTCAGTTTACGCACCATATCAAGATTAGCGCGCGGATTAACTGCTATAGTGGGAGGTGGAGTCTGTATCTGGTCATGTAGCCTAGCCTCTTAAGAACTTATTCGGATTTGCAATATAGTCTATTATAGACTATGTTGAAAAGGTGTTATATAGATGCATGTAAGGATGGCAGTATGTTTATTCAGGGGGATTACATTAAGCTTTCGTTATTCTCCTACCTTGTGTTTAAATTTCAAAATAAATTAAATAAAAGTACACAGCGCTCGTCGATAAGTTTTGAGATTTATATAAAATAAGAAATTCAGCAGAATAGTAATAATTTTTTTTTTTTTAAATTAAAGAAGCTCCATATAATTACTGTTGAGCTGTCTTTTTGTAATTGTTGCTTTACTATTGAAAATGCCTCTTTTGTAATAAACTTTCGGTTGATCACAATACTTACAATTTCGGAAATGTCGAATCTTTCGTCTTTCAACTGAAGTTTTAATTTTGGAAATAAAAACAAAATAGTCTGGGTGATCTAATGTTATTTATGTCCAGTTTTAGAGTCAAAAACTGCTGTACAATTAAGCACAATGTTTAAATTCTCAATTAAGATGAGAAAAACTATACTTTTCGATATTTTCAATTCTTCTGCTATCATACGAGGAGCGATTCCCCGAACATTTTTTACCAATTTTGCGGCGGCTTTATCTGTTCGACTTTGTGGCAACCACTGCATCATCATCTTTATGGATTCTGTCCCTTCACGAAATCTGGTATACCATGAAAAGTGTTCGCGCGACTTAGTGCCTCTTTGTTATAAGCTTTTTCCACCATTTCCAAAGTTTCTGCACCCGATAACCGGCTTTAAAATAAAATTTGACCATAGTACGTTACTCCTCTTTCGAATCCATATACACTGAAAATTCACGTTTCATAAAACAGTAGCATATTTGAGATCAGATAACTGTTGACAATTCAAATTATTCGTACACTTCGACAATGATTATGAGAATATAGTTCAGAAGAAACTGACTACATAGCGCCAATAGTAAGACCGTAAAAAAATCAGTCATACTTCTTTGCAGGACCGGCCCGAGAAATAGCAGGGTCCGGTGCAAGGTTGTCGTACTGGGCCTTTGAATTAAAAAAAAAAAAAAAAGCAATTTCGAACAACAGAATAATATTTTAATGGTAAACATGCCATCCGTTAAATAGATTAGCGAAAGTTAGTGAATAATAAAATGATCAATTTTTTAAATTTCGCAAGAATTTGATCATGCAGGATCGCGGTACCGTGTGCGGTCCACCGCCCACTGGCTGGCCCTGTTCCTTAAAACCTATGGACCGTGAATTTAGGGGAGTTCTGGTCACAAAAATTCATTAGAACGAGGATGGGAAATTTTTACTCCGAGGATAAAATCCCGGAATTAACTTTTCGAGATGCCAAGCTTATTTTAAAAATAATCATGCAACGAGTTGCTTAACTTTCCCTTCAACGTTTAATAGATATAAAAACCCTTATATGCTGTTCTTAAAACTGCGTGTGGCGCCACCTGTTATGACATTTTGTAAAAAATTTTTAATTATTATAAAATGGCAAAAAGCTTAATTTTGAGGGTAGGGATGGGTTTTATAAAAAATTGTAAATGCTAATGAGTAAAATCATCATTAAATCCGACCCTATTCGAAATATGACACCATCCCCTTTATTTCCTCGACCTTTAACCATCAAAATCCCTAACAAACAAACCTCCCTGCAAAATTTCAGAAATTTTTCACAAAAAGCACAAGCTATTAAATTTCAAAGAGGGTGAACAAATTCATGCCCACCAAACACTAACATTCATACACAGAAAAAAAATCTCCGAATTTTACTTTTTGCATTTATCGACGTTTCAAGGTCCCGAGTCCAAAAATGTAAAAATCTTGGGGAATCATTTTTGACCGATTGCCATACTTTCCGTTACGAGAGGCGGGAAAGTAAAAATGCATAGAAGACGTTGTTTAAATTTAATTATTCATACTTTATAAAGGAGTTGAAATATACAAAAACTATCAGAATCTTGCTTTGTCGCCAGAACCGCTTCTATTTTGCAGTCCTGTGCAAAATGTAAACGTCAAGTCTTTCGAAGTGCGAGGGGGAATCCTAAATCCGTCCGTGCGGGGGGGGAACACAACCCACGTAGCTGAATTTGTATTAATTAATAACGTAAACGTGGTTCGTTTACTTTCGTTCTAGCAAAAACTCTCCGTATCGTGATTGCAAATCACCAATATTTTACCTATATAAGTAATATTACTGTATTACTCGATGCTAATGGAATTAATTCATTTTAACTGAGTCACATTACAACCGATTAGTTAATTAAGACCTAAATTTATGCTATAGTTACAAGAGCAGATTGTCGAGGCTATTGTGATGCATTCTTTTTATTAAAGTGCTTTTTATGGGCACTGAGGACTGTGGAAAAATAAGCAAGGAGACTGGAAGAGATATATCCGGAACTTAGTCTACGAAAAATTCCGTTTTTCGATCGCCCGGATTCAATCTCAAATCTTTCGGAGCGGTAGGCTAATTCTTTAATAATTGTCTCCAGCCTTCTTATAAAAAGGCATTCGTGATCACTCTAATGGAAATTACGTCTATACAGCTTAAATTTTAAGCAAGATTTGGTAATTTAGGCAATCCTAATTCAACAATTTTGATAATTTATATCAACACCTAAATATTTTATTTTACTGATAGTAATTACCTTTTTTCAATATTTATAAGATAGTTTCCCTCTATACGAAACTGCAAAGTATTATGTAAATATTCTGATAAGTGAAATTAAATTTTATGAAATTCAGACCCTCTCAAGCTGAATTGGGCTTAAACATTCCATCCGGAAGATTAAATAAAACACTTTTTGACAAGAAACAGAACTATATGCAAGACAGTTTGCCTCTTTTATTTGGGGAGTTGCATAAACAAGTTACAGAATCTCCATACAAAAACAGTTCTTCCTAAAACATCAAGCAGAGGTTGGGAAAGTGACCTTTCACATTCTGTATGGAGCCAACATAGGAAGACAATTTACTGAACATTAGGGGTTTTTTTTTGACAGAAGAAACCTACAACACTAGGAATGTGGAAAAGTTAGACTGTTTCACAAAACATTACTAGTACAAATTCTGAATTTTTACAATGCTTTAAAAAAAGTAAACCAAAAACAAAAATTGATCTGACAGATTATGCCTCTGCGAGAGGTTGCTCCTCTTCGTCAAATTCACCCTCATCGTCGGCTGTAGCTTCTTGGTATTGTTGATATTCTGATACCAAATCATTCATGTTTGATTCTGCTTCAGTAAATTCCATTTCGTCCATACCTTCTCCGGTGTACCAATGCAAGAAAGCCTTTCTACGGAACATAGCTGTAAAACAGTAATATGTTAGTTAAAATAATTCCATTTCTTCTCTAGAAAGTAAAAACTACTTACCGGTAAACTGTTCGGAAATTCTCTTGAATAATTCTTGGATAGCTGTGCTGTTACCGATGAATGTAGCAGACATTTTCAAACCGCGTGGAGGAATATCACAAACGGCGGTCTTCACGTTATTAGGTATCCATTCCACGAAGTAGCTGCTGTTTTTGTTTTGGACATTCAACATTTGTTCATCTACTTCCTTCATACTCATACGTCCTCTGAAAATTGTTGCAACTGTAAGGTAACGACCGTGTCTTGGATCACATGCTGCCATCATGTTCTTGGCGTCAAACATTTGTTGGGTAAGTTCTGGTACTGTAAGGGCACGGTATTGTTGGCTTCCGCGAGATGTGAGTGGAGCAAAGCCGGGCATGAAGAAGTGAAGACGAGGGAATGGAACCATGTTGACTGCAAGTTTTCTTAAATCTGCATTCAGCTGACCGGGGAATCTAAGACATGTTGTGACACCGGACATGGTAACAGATACAAGATGATTGAGATCGCCATAAGTTGGAGTTGTGAGCTTAAGGGTTCTGAAACAAATATCGTACAAAGCTTCATTGTCAATGCAGTAAGTTTCGTCAGTGTTTTCAACCAATTGATGTACAGATAAAGTGGCATTGTATGGTTCAACAACAGTGTCAGATACCTAAAATTAAAAAAAAGTTGTTTTTTTAAGAAAGATGTATCAATGTAACAAAAGTAAAATGTAAAAACTGCATATTATAAGCTAACCTTAGGAGAAGGCATGACACTGAAAGTATTCATGATTCTGTCTGGATATTCTTCTCTGATTTTAGAGATGAGTAATGTGCCCATACCAGAACCGGTACCTCCACCAAGGGAATGTGCTAATTGGAAACCTTGGAGACAATCACAGCTTTCAGATTCTTTCCTAACTACATCTAGAACTGTATCTACTAATTCTGCTCCTTCTGTGTAGTGACCCTTGGCCCAGTTATTTCCTGCACCACTTTGGCCGAAGATGAAGTTATCAGGCCTGAATAACTGCCCAAATGGTCCAGAGCGAACAGAATCCATGGTCCCTGGTTCCAAGTCAAGTAAGATAGCACGGGGAACATATTTGCCACCTGTAAAATAAAAGAGACTATGTAAATTTCAAGTTTGACACTAAAAAAAAAAATTACTGTAGTTGTCTAAAGTCATTAACATTATTAGAAAAGCAAAGCCCTTAAAATAATAATAATAATGGAAAAAGGGGTTGCTTATTAAAAGTTTTGAATCAATGAGTTTAATCCCTGTGAAATAAGTAGGGCAACCATATATAGGAGTTCCATTGTCGCTTTATATATCTGAAGACTGACCTCATTTGCAAATAATTGTTCAAATTCTTAACTATGCCAACACCAGTAGTTGTCCAAGGTTAAAGAGGATAAAATGTTTAATATTATGAAAATCATTAAATATAATTACCAGAAGCTTCATTGTAATAAACATTGATTCTTTCGAGTTGTAAGTCCGAGTCGCCATGGTAAGTGCCTGTTGGGTCAATTCCGTGCTCGTCTGAGATCACCTCCCAGAACTATAAATAAAAAATACACATATAAAATTCAAAAAATATAAAAATTTAATCCAATAACACGAATACGCAATTTCAAAGTATTCGTTTCCTTAGTAACGAATTGGGTTTGAAAATAAACAAGAGAACAAAATCGATACGACAGTTTTCAACGCGACACAATTTGAAATTTCAAACTCATGACGTCATAGCGTAGAGGATCAGACGTTAAGAAGACAGGACGTGGCGGCCAATTTACATTTCCTGGTTATAAAAACGAAACAATTATTCTACCAAGAGTAGACAGGAAAAAAACCGGATTCGTGATATATTCCAGGAAGGAGAAGTCTTTATAAAAAATAACCGAAAGCGAAAAATCTAAAAATGAATTGATTTCTAACATCCGGATAAAGTAACGAACATCCGACTTTTCAAATTTTGAACATTCTTTAATGGTATAGATAAGAGAATGGAGAAAAATGATTCGCTGTTTTAAATTATCAACGGAAAATATTGTCACACTCGATGACTGTTACAATCTGAACTGTTTCACACCCTCTCCAAATAATTTTTTTTAACGATCAGTAGATCTTAAGCTTAAAAGATATTGCTAATTATTACAAAAATTTTATATATTTAGGTTAGAGATCTATAGAATTTACATTTTTATAGAATTTCAGATGAAACGTTCACCCGAAAATATGGCGAACCAACAAAGCGAGACTTGGCGCTTGTCGAAATGCCAAGTTGGCGGGTGGAGAACAAAGACCTACATCATCCAAGTTCCCTTCTTGACGTCACGATTAGTTAAAATAAAAATTAAATATTACTTTTAAAATGTGATTTACTCTGTTTAAAATCATAGTTTGTATTAACTGCGTACGTACGAATTAAATGAGATCTATAGACCAGTCCTAGAACTAAACAAAGAAACTAAACGAATCGACTCGAAGTCTTTAGGGATATTATTTAGAATGAGAAAGCAAACACTAAAAGACTACTTTAAACATTCGTATTATACGTAATAGATTTAATAATACTAATTCTTATACTATTTAAGATAAAAAATTAGGCAACTTACCTTGGCACCGATTTGGTTACCACATTGGCCAGCTTGAATATGTACGATCTCTCTCATTTTCGGATATTTCTAGTAGTTAAATCAACGTCCTTTGTTCCTCCACACCCAGTTTTGAAATCTCCTCGACGCTGGCAAACGCTCGGTTTTAAAGGAGGCGAATGCGGTTGTCTTCAATACGCATGTACTGTAACGTCCGCCCTGACGTGACGTCAAATTTTACCATCCCTATTGGTCGATTTTCCGTACGCTGCGGTTTCTGTGCACAGAACATCCTTTTACGGACAATGGCCGATTCTACGTGTCAACCTCCACCCAGTAGACACACCAACATTTGAAAAAGATGTGAAGAATTATTAATGGCTAAATTTAAAAGGCATCGATAATATGTTTAACATCAGCCATCAAATTTTAATATTTAATAAATTATAATTGATGACAAACACCAAATGAGTCATGCCAACCCCGATTAATATAATACATGCGCTCTTAAACCCTCTATTGTATGTAGTTAAGTAAGAGGTCGAGATTCACACGTGGCGATTGAGGTCAGGTTATTAATTGTTTTCATAATAAAAAGGATCCTATTTAAAGATATTATTGTAAACAATACCGACAAATATCAGATATTTATGTAGAGAAAAAAAAAATCCCTATGATCTATTAGATGGATGTGGGTTTCCTTGATGAAATCTCTAACCTAGTCAACTGAGTAGGTGTTAAATCTAGTTGATGTTGCAAGACTTGCAACATTTTAGTATGCAATAGAGCTATTCTAAAAAGCATGAAAGGATAGAAATAAATATACAGTATATATAAAAAATATTTTTATGTATATTTTCAATACAGGAAATCTATTAGAAAAGGAATTTTCATATTTTCCAATTCGACTGTACGTATGAGGATTTTTATTTTTGCGCTTTGATCAACGTAAAATCTAGATATTCGACACAATTCTCTGTTGCTATGGCGATGCTTACAAATCAATATAGCAAGCAGAAGCAAGGTAGCTAACTCCAGACAGCATCTATTATCTAGATTGAAAATTTTACCATTTAAAAATGACCATTTATAATAATAATTGCAACTAATGTTTTGATTGTTTAATTACTCAACGTTTACAACATTATTATAAACAAATCATTATCATTTATATCTTCTGTGATATAATGAAATTTGAAGGTTATATTATTCTAAGTTATACATCGAAATATATATATATATTTCCAGACTTCCCTCTGCCTTATCAAAAAGTGATGTAACCTTGAATCGATATGACTCATTCGCTGGCTTTCGTATATTTCGTATTAATGTAATAATGTATATATGTATTCAGTCATTATCTTAAAAGGCGAATGACCACCTATTGAATGTTATATCGACCTTTAATAATGATGGATGGTAAATTTTAAGCAAATAATCCATCTCCCCCTAAAAAGTGGAACCTATCCGGACAAGGAGACGCTAGGTCTTCCCATAAAGCACTCAACTTCAGCTGTAATCAATATTCCAGTTGTCGAAAATCTCACTCGGGGTAAAATCCAGCATCACAAGATGAGCGACATTTTTTTTTTCTTTCTCTCTCTCTCTCTTTTAGAAATCTCGTTAATCCAATGGTTTCGTTCGTTTTATACTTATTGTATTTATTTATTCTTATTTTTAGAAGAATTTGCATTTAAAATAATTGGCCAGAAATTATTCTTGTGACTAAATGTTATCAAATTAAATTAAAATTGATTAATTTTTATGACTAGACTGGAATTCTAAATATCGACTCAGCCAGCCTTCAGACTATCGGGCGACATCGTCCCTAGACGCATGCGCGGTCGTCGACACCTGCTTTCGTGTTGCGGGTGTGACGTCACGGACATAATATTACAAATTGATCGATTTTTATAATTATTTTATTACGTACGTATACGTTTGATCTGATAGTTTTCTAGGGTTTAATAAATTCGTAATTTTAGATCTCAATCGAATTTTAATCCGAACAGATGAAATTTATTATGATCTAATCCTGCAGTGCAGCTGAACAAACTCCCAACATAACCACGCCTAATTGTTAACATGTCCAAATGTGGTCTTTAAGGAAGACAGGTAAACACTTAACAATACAAAAAAAAAAGGGGTCAGTTTATTATGTTGAGGAAAAAATATATTTAATCGGGTTTGTGTCAAGTTCTTCAATTATTATAACCAAATGTTTCGTAAACTTTATTCACAGTATAAACATCTGAATGAAATTTCTATCCAAGATTCAGTTAGTGAAACTATTTGATTTTTTTTTTTAAAGGAACGAATAAAACAAAAATTTCTTCCTTCTTTTTTTCTAATATTCTATATTTTGAACTAATGCAAAATAATAAATTATATACAGTAGTAAAACTATTATTTATACGCTATATTTCATAGACATTTATCGATATCAGTACATATCTTAATATCATTATTGATTATTGGCATTCTGTAATGAGTTATTTTATAGTAAATATATAAAAGCTTTGAGTAGATGTTTTAAATATATTTCATAATATATTTGTAAATATTATAAGATTCTCATTAGATTTCTTTACACTTATATTTGGTTTTATTCTATTTTTTTATTATTTCGGTATAAGATTAAATATTAAACTATAAATATAAATATCTATTATTTTAATTTTTTAAAATAAGACTACTGTAATCATATTTGCTTTTTAAATATTTAAATAATGTATATGTAATATATTTTTGGTTTTACATTCAAATTACTTTTTAATAGAAAACTAAATATACATTATTAAAAACAATTAAATTATTTATATATTTAATTTAAGCATTTCTATAAATACTAAAGTTGTTTTACTACCATTTCAGGTCTGCACATTGATTGAACATCTAAGATATTTCAATCAATATGTATATACCACTTAATTATTTCATTTAAATTAAATATTACTGCACATACACATACACACACCCACACACATATACATATAAAAGGTGTATTTTGCATGTTAGTTTTTCTATTTATGAAATTTGTTATCTGTAACTTCAGATATGATGATTTGATACTTACTGCATTTTTTAATTTAATTTTTTTAGTACTAATAAATTGAAAATTAAATGGTTGATTTTAATAATAATCTTTAATTATGAATTTCCATATGTAACCTGTGCCCTACTTATAAAAGAAGTAATTCAGCCTGAATTCAATGGCGCCATCGTGGGTTGCTTAATAAGAAAAAAGTGTATTATAAACTGAAGGTTAAATTATCCATTAAATTATTAGAAGAAAAAAAATGTATTGTTATTTAAAGATATTAGTGTTTCCTAATTTAAAAAAAATATATATATATATATTTATATATTTATGTTTATTAAGCCATTAACTAATTCAGTTTTAAGTAATTCATACTTTGATTTAAGATTTAAAAATGATATGCGGGTATTGAATGGAAAATCACATAGTCTATGCTATAAACTTCTCACCAAAGTGTCATGAGATGCAGCTAGGGAGTGTGATCGGGCTAGCTGCCAGATGGTTACACTTAACAGTCACGCACCAGACTGACCTCATCTCGAAAAATCGAATACGAGGAAGTTATGTTCCAGTTAGCTTATGAACTGTACGGTCTTTATGGGTATGAAAATGATATTTCATTGTCTTTGCAGTATTTTGTTGTGTAAATTGTCAAATAAAAATCATCCGATTTTTTTTTTGAAATTAACAGTAAATTGTTTTAAATTTGATAATTATATCATATTTGGAGAAATTTCTAATAAACATAAAAGCCTAATTTTATAAAATATTAAACATTGTAACAGAAGTACACAAGCATAGAAATGCAGAGAAGTAATTATCAAAATTACTTATGAATCATTGAAATTGTTTTTTTTTTTAATAAGCCTATGTGATCATTAGGACATGTACAGTACTGTTTTGTCATTCGAAAACATAGGTTATGCTGTGTCAACTTCTTATTCATTTCTCTAGAAGGACTTAAATTTTTATTAAATACTTGAATTTCTATGATAGACTTTTTCGGATTTTGGATTTGGAACTGGTATTAGGATTTGGATTGTATTTTTTAGTTTAAGAAACTTTAGTAATATAATTAAGCTTCGATAAAAATATTTTGATTGACATTAGTCTAATTAAAGTAGTAATTGTAATAGCTTTTATAAAGGATAATTTATAAATTATTCATACTAATGTTAGCATTATTCACGATTAAAGTCGCAAATAATTTAAAATACTCTGAATTGAGATAAAATAAAATAAACTGATTATATTCTTGCATTATAATGATAATATTAGAATCATAAAACTTCCGTTAAAACATAAATAAAATGATAACACACAAAATCATTATCCATATTTCCTGTCCCTCCAAACATTGCACTTGGATAAGCACGACGTACTACAATTTATATTTACATCTCGTTATTGACTTTGTATTATTTGAGTATCACGTGACTTTTAATTACTAATCATGCTTGACTACTTTTTAAAGTGTTTTCTTTTGCTGTTCACTAAAAATTTTTAAAGAGTAAGAAAAAAAAAAACATCTTTATATTGTAGGCTACTTAAATCTTGTATGGCAGATATTGAATCATGGATTAGTTAGGCAATCGTAGCTCCTGTCCCGAATTTTTCCGCTACTGTTTTTTGTTTTTCTATTGCATTATTTTATTTGTTATGATATAATATATTATTCTTTTTATTTTCTAAAAACTCTATGCATCGTCACTCTCAGCCTTCAAACATTAAACCGGGAGAAATTCCTGTGTGATAATATCGACTGAAATATCTGGATGCTAGAAATACTTTAAGTTAAACTCAATTTATTACTGCTTCTGATGTACACATATATTACAATGCAATTAATTGTTATTATATTTTTTTATTTATTCAAACTTTTAAAGTATGAACCATAAAGAATTTTTAAGTAACAACATAATAAAAGATACTAATAAAAATAATAGGTAATAAATTTATTTTAAGTTATAACTGTGATGTAGTATTGATAACAATAATAACTTCTCAGATTTAAGAGTTGGAGAATGTAATCCACTGTGGAATATCCTAATTTTTAAATTTTTTTTTCTGATATTTATAAGTTACTTAATAATGTTTCGATCCTTTTTTAACACTATATAATAAAACAATTTTTAGACTATT